GGAGAGTGAGGGAAGAGAGAAGGAGGAAGGGAATAGGAATGGTATAAAAAAAGAAATAAATTTCATGTTCATGTGCCAACTCCACACATTGAATGTAATCATTATGTTCTAAAAACATGTACCAATAAATATAAGAAATATTTAAATTTTTTAAAAAATTATACTTATATTTCATCCCAGTGAGAATGTATCAAGAATACACTAAACAGCGAATTCATTTATAGATGATGGAAACTAGCTAACCATTTTCACCCTGCACTAAAGTCACATCAGGGTCAAAGACCTAATTATAAAAAGCACAAATTGTGAAACTTCTGGCAGATTACATAGGCATAGACAAAGACTTCCTGAATAACCCCAATACAACAGAAAATAATATCAAGAATCAACAAATGTAATTACAACAAAGTAAAAGCCATCTTCACAGCAAAGAAAATAATCAAAATATTAAAAAGACAACCTACAGAATGGGAGAAAATATTTCCTAATTACCTACCTTCTGAGGACTAATATAAAGAATCTATAAAGGCCTGGGGATTTAGCTCAGTGGTTCTGCTGCCTGCCTCACAAGCACAAGGTCCGAGTTCGATCCCTAGTACCAAAAAAAAAAAAAAAAAAAAAAAAAAAATCTATAAAGAACCTCATAAAAATGACATAATCAAAAACTGAACAAATAAACTGAAAAGACTTCTCAAAAGAAGTGCAAATAGCCAGTAAGTACATGAAAAAATGTTCAATATTTTTAACCATGAGCAAAATGCAAATCAAAACAACATTAAGATTCCATTTCATCCCAGCTGAAACGGTTGTCATCAAGAATATAATGAACAGTGAATAGTGAATGCTGGTGCACAGATGAGGAAAAAAGAACCCTACTAGATTGCTGGTGAAAGTACTAGAACAACCATTGTGGAAAGAAAAATGGAGATTATTCAAAAAACTAAATATAGAAATACCATCTGACCTATCACACAACTCCTGGGTACATACTCAGAATTAAAGGCATTATACTACAGTGATCTATGCATACGGTGTTCATAGCAATGCAGTGCACAATAGTAAAGCTTTGGAAACAGCCTAGGTACCCGTCAAGAGACGAATGGAATAAAAAAGGTGTAGATATGAAATGGAATATCATTCAGCCATAAAGAAACAAGAAATCATATAGTTTGCAAGAATATCGGTTGAATTTAAGAATAGAATGCTTAGCAAAACAAGCCTGACATAAATCTAAATGTCACATGCATTCTCTTATATAGTCAACTTAAACTATAAATAAATAAACAAATCAAATAAGGAGGGACGATAGGAAACTAGACGGTAGACGATTGGAAATGGGGAAGGGATTAGGGAGGGGGAAAGAATGGGAGAGGAAGAGTAAAGAGGTTGAAAACAAGGTATTCTAAATGCATGAACCAATTCACAAAACCAACATCACTATTCTGCATTTAGAACATGCACTACTTTTATAACAAGAAAGATACACCAATCATCTTATTAAAAAGAGAAAATTAGTTATTTGTGTCTTCTTCAAAGAAAACCCAAGTGTATTATGTTAATTTTTCCAATGATGAAAGAGAGCCCTTCCCATCAATAGTTGTCTGCATAAATTCTTCCATTTCCTGCCTTGCAAAGTCATGTGCAAAGTTAGAGGCTCTTGCTAGGCCCTTCTGCCCCTAGCTTAGGGTCTGACTGGCAAGGGGAAGGGTGGAGGCTGCAGCATTCTATGCTCTGCAGACAGCAAGGGCCCCCAGTCACCCCTGTCCCCTGTGATATCCTCGTTCCCAGGAGCACAGGCCTGGCCCAAACAGGAGAGAGGCTTCTGAGCGCCTGGGCCCCATGAGCTTTGCCTGCGTTCTGAAGCCAACTGTCACCCCAACTGGAGCTTGAGTTCACTTGGCCTGTGTGCCCCGCCTCCGCCCTCAGGCTCTCATGGGCCTTTACCTGAGCAGGTTTCTGAGCTGGTACTTGGGGGAGCCAAGGCCTCGCTGCACTCCTCTGCCCCTAAGTCTTCGCCTCTGAGGCCCACGCCCCAGCGCCCAGCTCTTTGCATGGTGCAGGCAGGCAGGGAGGACACCGCCTGGAGAGGCTGCCCCGGCAGGCAGTCATCCTCCGAGCATTCCCTTACAGCAAAGCTCTCCTATGATTACCTCAACCAAGTGAAGCCGGAGCTGTTAGCCGCTGGGGACCCTCGGCTGCAAGGCCTGGCGCGAGTTCAGGTCAACCCCACTGTGCTCCTTAAGAGCCTCTGCCCGTGCCCGAAGTCCGAGGGGCGCCCACACCCCTGCGCCAGGGAGATCGTGCTGCAGGCCATCTGCCAGTACAAGAAGGGAAAGAACAAGTTTGATGGGCCGTTGTGTTTCAAGATGCCGGACCTCAAGACAAGGGCGCTGAACCCAGAACCCAAGCCATCTGCCTTCCAGCCAGTGTCCAGAAACGGGGTGACCCAGTCCTTCGTGCCCAGGCCTGGGCCATTGAGCAGAAGCTGTGCTCAGGGGAATCCAGCTCTATGAAAAGTAAGATGGGCCTGCATGCAAGCCTTCCCCTAACCTGCCCTGTGCCTCCACCACCTGAGAGCTGGGCGCAGCTGCACAGCCTGAGGGCTCAGGGACTCCCTCCTCTCCCTAAGGACCGCTCCATGAAGGCCCTCCAGTCCCTAAGTCACACCCAGCCTACTGTCCCCTGGGCTCCTAAGGTCAGTGCCACCCCTCCTGAGACCCAAAGCCTCAGCGCTTTTATTTTTCTAACCCCTTTCCCACTTCCGCAGGAGACAAGGAACCACCACCTACTTCTGTTGGCGGGGCTGCCAGCCTCCAGAGCAGCCCTCATCAGCCTGCACTGAACACTGTTGATTTCAAAGCATATTGTGACTTGATCGCTACCTTTCTTATATGCTTTAATATACTTATATAAATACTTTTTTTAAAGGTGTCATCCTTTTACGTGTGTCCCATGACACGAAAAATTCAATGGGTCTTCCTAAATTTTCTCAAGAAATATTTTTAAAACAATTACTCTATTATAATGAAATGATGTTATATCCTTTTTCAACCACAGTGAGACTAAATCCTTAAAAACACTTTTGTCCCTCACCCTAATTTCATATTAATAAAAATGGTATCGTTAGGCATTTGGAAAAAGATGGTATTTTAGCAGGGAAAGCCAGCCACTCTGATGTTGTGTTCTGTAATTCAAAACAAAAAGTCTTCCACTTGGTTAAGAAAAGGCCTTTCTTAAATTTTAGTGTTGGCAGGCTCTGAAGTGGAGAATGAGGACTTAGGTTAACAAGCACTCATGCTCCTTCCATCCTCCTGCGTACAGTAGTTTGCCAGCTGACATAAATGTGTTTTCCAAACCAAGACTCATGACAGGTGCTGTTCTAGAACTGATCAGGAAGGCACCACACCCACTGTCAGCATGCCTATAAACTAACATCTGCATTACTGTTAAAAGATTCCCAAAGTCACCCCCCTTGGGGAAAAAAAGAAGTGTAGTAGTTGGTAGTCATATAATGTAAAAATTGATGACAAAAAAGAATTGCTGATATTTATGGAAATACAAAACACATTATTTCCATCTTCACTACTCATTATTTTCTTCTTTTAAGGACGTAGTAGGGTATTCAGGAGGACATTTGTGTGTGAAGGAAGACTAACCAGAGTGATAAACATCAATAGACTTTTAAAATTACTGCTTAAAGACAAGGGACCACTAAAGAATTTGGTGTTTGTGTCCATTTTACTGCCTGTAACAAGCTTTTATTAGGCATAACTGAACCCCAGGTTCACAAATGATGCCCTGTAAATGAAGTAAATAGAGAAGCCACAGGAATTTTTTTCACCAAAAGCTCACAAATTGGTTCAGACATATCTGGGAAATTATAATGCAAATAAACTAAATGTATGTGATTGATAATAGACTCTGGTTTATGTATGTCAGATGTGGTGGTTTTCCCATGCAGATGACTACAACGAACCCTTTTTACTATATCATTTTTATCTCATTTATTTAGTACTAAAGTTGCTCTCCTAAAACCTCTCAGTCTTAGTTTAAAGTTTGATTTCCACATGTAGTAATAAGTTAGTATGAGCCCAACCCAAATACATTTCAAATAAGAGATCAACATTTCACTAGGTTTCCTTTGATGTTGCATTGCACTGTGCACTTCTCCTGGCAGAGTGAATGAAGACTATTGATATAAGGTATCCTGTCAAAGACATGTGTTTACAATTATAGCCCTCAAAATAAAGAGAGGATACATAACCATATCCCTGGAGGCATGGAAATTACACCATTAGAGGAGCATGGCCAGAGGCCAATGGTTTTGTACTGGTATACCTAATGAACAGTGTATTTCCATCTCCAAATGTGCACTCTATTTATAATAACATATAGCTCTTTTTTAGACAAATAGAAAAATTAGGCATACCTGACACAGTCATATAACTGAAGGCCTGGGAATATTCAATCAATAATGTCTAATAGTATCTGGCACAAAGAAGGCATGCTTGGAAGAGGGCATACTGGAAAAAGGTGCTTGCATATACAATAAGCAAAATTACACCCTGCTGTGGAGAAGAGAGTACCAAGATAGGATTTAGGAGATGAGGTCTATACATTACACTGAATTTTTACCAAATAGAAGCTTCAGAATCAATAAGCAAACTGCACCTTTGACCTGAATAATGAGCAATTTCCAAGTTTTAAGGGCACAGTGGTGGTATAAATTTGATGATGTCAAGGCCAGTGATAGAGAGTAGGGTGGACTCCACATTTGATTTTGAGCTCATAAAACATGCAGGAAACTTAACAGTTGCCACATGTCCTGGCTTTTGCTCAATTCCTTGTTTGTACTGCATATGGGGAGGAAAAAATGAAACTGGTAACCAGGAAGATCACCAGCCCAATGCCCAGTGCCTGATATCAGCCTGATATGCTGATATTTATGGAAATACAAATTGTGGGTACCAATAATGTTTCTTTTCAACTTGTGAAGCAAGAAGAGGAATATAAAAATAAAGAAGATAGGTAAACAAGAGAATCTGCCAAGTCACTACACCTAACTATAATGTAGATTAGTTAGTTTCTCAAGCAAGGGGTACATCCTTCGCATTTTGGCATAGTGTATTCGGAGCCCACAGCACAGTTTGAAACAGTGCCTAACAAACCAGTAGGTGTTCAATGACATTGGTGAAACTGAATAATCTCCCTCCATGTCTTTCCATTCAGTCAAAATATAGTATGATTAGGACATGAACCAATAGCACTGAATTTCATGGTGGATGAGAGGAATAAAAGTGCATCATCATATACGTGTTTAATATACATCTTCAGGAATTTATGAGAAATACTTGGAACTTCTGTTTTGTTTTGGATTTATACTCAGAGTCTAGATTTCATTGTTTTCAAGTGGCATAAGTCAGTAAGAGAAGACTAAATAGAAAGTTGGCCCATTGCATTCACAGATACTGTATCACATTTATATTACACAAGAGAAGCAGTGACCTCTGAAAAAATGGAAAGTGGAATAGCCAACTTCATAGAAGCAAGTAGATCTTGGTTCAAAAAAATCTGTCTTGACTGAAAACTTTCGTCTTCCTTCTACAAAACAGCCTTTCTAATGTGTCTTTGGGGTAATATGACAGAGTTCTTACCACGTGATAGGCATTGTTCTGAGCATTTTACGTTAATGTATTTAACCTTTGTATCAAGTAACAAAACAGAGGCACAGAGAAATAGTCTTTGCTTGTTTGTTTGTTGCAACAGAAGTTTATTTTTTTCCTTTTTTCTTTATTGGTACATTTTAGGTATACAGTACAGTTACATTCATCATTGGAATCTTGTACCTTTACATGACATATATTGGTTCTTATTTTTCTCCATTCCCCTGCCCTCCCTTCAATCCTCCACCCTTCCCTATTTACAGACTTTGTTTCCATTTTTTCCTTATCTCTTAATTTTTCTTTTCCCTTCTTTGCTTTCCCCAACCCTTCCCACTTCCCCTTTAGACCTTTTTTTTTCTATTACACAATATCAAGTATTCATTTTGATTCTTATTTACACTTTTAGTTTATCACACCAGAAAAACCATTCGGCATTTCCAAATTCATTCCTAGAAGCAAGTGTTACTTTGATTCCAAAACCAGGGAAAAACTCAACCAAGAAGACTATAAGCCAGTCTCCCTAATGAACATAGATGCAAACTCTCAGTAAGATACTGGTCTTACCCTGTCTGGTCTTTAGATGTTGCCTTCTGATCCTTCTGCTTTCCTGCAGGTAATCAGATTACCCATTTTCTGAAGACAGGTCCCATCATCTTATGTGCTGAAGTCCTTGCCAGAGCTTCTCATAGTGATGTTTACCACAGGTCTGTGTCTTCCAAACTTGACCCCAGTCTCCTGGTCCATCAGTATTCTCAGTGTTCCTTGATTTCCATCTCTCTCTCTCTGTCTCTCTCTCTGTCTGTCTGTCTCTCTCTCCCTTCCCCTCTTCCTCCCTCCTTCCCTCCCTATCTCTACCCTCTCCCTCGTCTCTTTATTTCCGGTTTTTCTTCTCCACTTTACCCTGTACTGGGAAATTAACCCACGGCCTTCACACTGAGCCAAGTCCCCTGACCACCTCCTTTGTGATAAGGTCTTTCTAAGTTGTCCAGGCTTGGCTCCACTTGTAATACTCCTGCTTGAGCTTCTCAGGGACCCTGGATTGTAGACATAAGGCGTCACACCCAGATTTCCGCTCTTGACTACGGAAGTCAGAGGATGTACCTCCATTCTGCCACCTGCTCAGACTTGTCACACTGCCACTTCTGCTCCACCATAGCTGATCTGTCTGGTGCTAGGTCCTCAGCTAAAAGTTCTGTGCAGTAAAGTGGCTGCACCTCATCTGCTTTTGGATTCCAAAATATGTTTCATGATCATGACACAGCCCCCTGAGTTGCTGCACCCAGGGGGAGAAGAGTGAGAGGCTGGGCTGGGCAAGGGCCAAGGACCAGTTGCCCCATTTTTTTTGTTGTTGTTGTTTCCTTCCTTACAGGGTTCTCTTCCCAGTGTAGGGAAGGCTTTCCTTAGTCCTTGGCAGCGGAAAACTTAAATCATCTCAAACGTCTTACTCACTGAAAGTTTATAACACACTAATCCTATGTCTCTTGCTTTTGCTTCTTTTCTATCAACGCATTTTGATCTTTCCAAATGAAATCTTTGAGTTTCTCAAGTTTTTTTCCACAATAATTAGAAACCTCAGAAAATCTATTTGGAATACTAAAAACTGAAAAGGGATCCTTCGTTTTCATCTGTGTATATTGAAATCTTTGAGTTTCTCAAGTTTTTTTCCACAATAATTGACCTCAGAAAATCTATTTGGAATACTAAAAACTGAAAAGGGATCCTTCGTTTTCATCTGTGTATTTTCTTTCCTTTGAAACAATGGATGTTTCAGGCTCAATAAATGAAAAGAAGGAAAAAATTGTGGAAGTGAGGAAAAACACACATACAATCATCTTAAGAGTAGAGGACATTTTTGTTCGGTCGAAATTTCTCACCAAATCACTTCATGTGCTTTGGCTAATATAAAAAATAAAAAACTTTTAAAATAGAATGAGCTACTATAAATCTTTATTTCTTTTATTTTCCTTACTATCTCCCTTTTTGTGAATTGAAACATGGAAAATAATGCTCTTGATATAATATCATTGATTAGAGGATTTAGTAAACTCTGGAATTTAAACGGAAACATTTTCTAAGAATTGTGAATATGAATATTTAATATTTATCTATCCATTCCACAGATATTTGTCATGGAGTTACTGTGCCAGGAGTTATTCTAGTGTTAGAGACATGGGGGTTAAGTAAAATCAATACAGACACTGCCATCTTGGA